AATTCACATGGTCTTTATTAGAGGATTGATGTGTCAGCTAATGCTTTGGGGTGACCAAAAAGCAAACCTTGAGCTTAACCAGTTGTTGATGATCACTTTTGTGGTTCCCAACAGGGATTGAGATTTCAATCCAGTATATGTTAGAGAAAATATATATATAGGAAATTAAGGAAACACAAAAATAAGGAATCCGACCCCAACAGTAGCGTTGTTTCTTTAAGATAATTTTGTTTCCTCTACGGTGCTCAAGGTTTCACGAATAATTGTCTGGATAGGACAAATTTACCAACCTGTAAGTTCAGTACTTAACACACAGGACTCAACGAACTTTAGTATTTATAAGTACTCGTACAAAAGGAAAAGATAGAATTTTGAGAGATCAGTTTTCTGTTTTTCAAAATTRAAAAGAAACCACAATTTATAGACTATTTGTGACCATGGTCACATCTTTTCGTATAATATCTTTATACATATCCTTTCATATAGGGTTGTACCCTTTACAAAAGACACATCCTATCACGAAAAGTTGTGTTTCTTTATTTTATCAAAAATAATTTTATTCAAAAAATTCCAACAGTACAAGAATACCTTTTTCGTGATTCACCCTTTTCCTAATCTCTTATAATCAAATGCACAAGGTCTTTAGGATCAATGTATTTAACTAATACTTTGGTACTAAATTCATGGCTGCCATTATAATATTATTGTTGGGTTGGTAAGAAATACAAACAAAATCCCACGTTGGCTAGGGATGAGGTGATCCATGGTATTAAGGGAGAACAATTATCTCCATTGGTATGAGATATTTTGAGTGGAACCAAAAGTAAAGCCGTGAGGGCTATGTCCAAAGCGGATAATATCATATCATTGTGGAGATATTCAGAGTACGACGAGTACCGTTATCCTCAACAATTATCCAAATTCCAAAAGACTTCATGAGCAATAATTTTCACCTTTTTCCTGATCTCTAGCAATCAAATGCTGTAAACTTAACCATCATTATTGCCTTTAAGGTTTGTTTTCTAATGAATGAAGTTGTTCCAGGTCAGCATGTTTATGTTGAACTTTGAAGAGATTTCTGGGACAGGTTAATAGAGAAGCTTTCTGTGGTGGTAAGCTGTGAAAGAGAAGGCATTTAGGTAAGCCCACCAATTTGGTTGGTTTTTGTTTCGACTTATTTTGATAGACATTGACATTCCACAAATACTTGGTCTTTCTTTGTTCACTCTCTTCCCCAAACTTTTGTCTCTCAATTGTCCTTTTTAGTTGGACCACCATCCACTTCAAATCTTCTTTTGTGTTTTTCGAAAATTTTTGTATTATGATGTTAGATCATTTTCTCAAGGGAAAAAAATCTGGTTTGTTAATGGAATAAAGGAATGGTTTGGATGAGTTCCCTGTTCTTCAGCCAAATCTTTACAAGAGAGCTCAGTGTTATTGAGAATGATATTAAAAATAAAAATGTCAAACGATCGTTTTTTTTTTGCCCGTTTAGTAACATTTTTATTTCTTGTTTCTCTTTCTTTATTTTTTATGAAGAAAAATGTATTGCATGGAACAATATTTTCATTTATGTTTTGGAACAAATTGGAAATGTGAACAAGAAAGAAAAAACTTGTTTTCGTTGTTTCTAAAATTTATATGCAATTGTGAGAATATTTCCAAAAAATAGAGAAACAAGAAACAAAAGGTCTGTTTGATAACGTTCATGTTTCTTATTTCTGTTTCTTTATTTTTAATGAAGAAAAATGTATTGCATCATTCAAACTCCCAAGAATTAAAGTATGATAAAACAATCTTTTTATTTATGCTTTGAAACAAATTTGAAATGGGAACAAGAAAAGAAAAAGTTGTTTTGGTTGTAATCAAAATTTCTATAAAATTGTGAGAATATTCTCGAAAAAGGAGAAACAAAAAACAAAATTAGTTGTAAAATGCTTAGATTTCTTAAGAAAATTGGAAACAATAAACAAGAAACAGTAACTTTACCAAACGAGCCCAAAGTTAGTCGTAAAATGTTTAGATTTCTTAAGAAAATTAGAGACGAGAAACAAGAAACGGAAAGGTTACCGGTAGATATCCATAAATGAATTAAATTTACTCAATCTATCAGCTTAAGTTTTTTGGTGGAACGATAGTTTATTCATCCTTAAAAGTTACCAAACGGTCCTTTGTTTCTTGTTTTTTATTTGTTTTTTTATCAATTAAGAAAAAAAAATACCACATTTGATAATTGTTTGCCAAACATGTAACCATTTTTTGTTTTTATTGTAAATTAAAATTAAAATTTTAGATTAAAAGAAAACTAAAAGTTTTGTATTAAATTTATTTTTTTCGAATCTTGTTTTATTATTCTGGAATGCACGGCCATTGGGACCTGCAATTCTATTTTTCTTGTTTGGTAATGTTACCAAACAAGTCATTACCAAACAAGAAAGACTTGAAAGAGTTGTTTGGTAACATTTCCGTTTCTTGTTTCTCATTTCCAATTTTCTTAAGAAATCTAAGTATTTTTCAATTAACTTTGTTTCTTGTTTCTCATTTCTTGGGAACATTCTGACAATTGTATAGAAATTTTAGAAACAACCAAAACTAGTTTCTCCTTTCTTGTTCTCATTTTCAATTTGTTCCAAAACATAAATAAAAATATTATTGTATCATACTTGAATTCTTAGAGGTTGGAACCATGCAATACATTTATCAAACGAGCATGAAATGTTATCAAACGAGTCTTAAATGCTTACCAAACGAGAAACAAGAGATAAGAAATTATAACATTATCAAACAAGTCCTACAATTTCAGATTCTTAATTTTAATAGTTATGTCAATTTAGTCTCTAAACTCTAAATTTCTTAGCTTAGGTTCAATGAGGGGCCGCTCTCTTTTTTGCTCTGCATCAATCCCCATTCACCACATATTTTACTTTTTTTTTTTTGGGTGTATAACACCTTAAATGTTTAATCTCATCAGTTTGATCCTTAAATAAGTAGTTAAATTAATACATCTTAAAAGTTAAATTAGAAAATTTCTCATGAATTGAGGAACAATACTCAAAATTGAACTAAAGAAATGTTTAAAATAAACCATGGAAATACATGAAGATAGTCATAAATTTAATTGGGTTAAAAAAAGTGTTCAAAACTAACAATAAAATGTTAAAGTTAACTAAAAGAATTTTTAACCTGCCTTAAGCAATCAATTTAATTAGACGTATATTCGTATCTAACCACAAATTGAAAATTGATTTCGATTTAATTTGATGAATTTTAAAGTCCTTCCAAATTGGCTCATTCAGCCTAATAAGTACTAGAGGTAAAACTTTATCCAAAAAAAAAAATGTATATATAGTAGAGGTAAAAATAAATAGATTTTCTTAAAGTTTTCATTGGGTAACTAAAATTTGAATTGTAGCCTGTCATTAACATGGATAAAACTAGGCAACATGGAGGGCCATCAAAATAGATGAAAATTGGATCTAAAAAATCAATTAACAAAAAAATATAAAAAAAAAAACTTTGTTTTTTACTCTCGTGTTTACTTTTCACTCGCAGGATCATGGTCTCTCTTCTATAAATATAAAGTGAAGCAAAGTGCATTACATTGAGGTGAAGAAAGATCAATAAATACGTAAGAATACGGTGCATAACTCAACATGACATTTACTAAGGTTAGAAGTTCAAAGTCTCAGTAATTGAAGTTGAACGTTCTTTTTTTAAATTTATATAAGTATTGTGTTGTAAAATGAAAATTTGGTTTATCGGCTTTTTCTTTGTTCATTTTGGTACATATGCTTCTATTTTTTTTTTTAATTTTAGTCTCTATATTTTCAAAACATCATGTGGTTTTTTGACTTTAAAAAAGTAACCATTTTGGCCTCTATTTGTAAAACATTTAACACAAATTTGGTACACTTTGAAAATTATTTAATATAAATTTATAGATACATTTTAAGAATTTACTAAGTGAAGTAGTAGGTTAAAATTTTGATTGAAATAAATAAGATAAAAATAAAAATGAAAAGGAGATGTTGGGACCAAAATAGTATTTTAACAAAAAGATTTTAGGATTTTTTTTAAATATTACAAATTTTAAAACTTATTTAAGAAATATTTTAGATATCAAACCTGTTCTAAAAGTAGTACATTTAAGTAGCGATAATTGTCATATATAACGTTGTGTTGATCCCTACCCACTACTAAAACAAAATCTCCTTACATTTTTGTTAAATTTATAATATTTCAAAAAATATAATCGAATTACGAGATTTATTCGGATGTAGATTTTTATTAAAATAGAAAAGATTTCCATATATTGTTCATAAAATTAAAAAGATATACACTTATTTATTAAGTTGTTATTTTCTTTTTCCTTTTACAATATGTTACAGTCATCTTCAAAATTTGACCTTGAATAAAGAGAATATACCTTTATGAGAAAAAATAAAATAAAATGTGGCACATGTGCCACGTTTGGAAGTCACTTTGCGTTGAGAAAAATCTTTTAAATTTTTATGTACATTGTTTATTCATTTAAGGAAATCAACTTTAAGAAAAAAAATCTACATGGAATAAATCTTATAATGTAATTATAATATGAAAGAGACTTATGCCAGTCTCAAACATTAATTTGTTGGGAAAAAAAACTTAGCTGCATGTAAATATTTTGAAAGATTCAGAGATGACCTACATGTGATAAAGTTTGATATATGAAATTATTTTGAAATAAGTTTTAAAATTTGTAATATTTAAAAGAAAAATCCAAGATTTCAATGTAAAAAAGTTAGAAAAAAAGGTCTTTCATAAATTGCAATATGACCCGACCCGACCCGACAATTGGATATTTTTGTAAATTCCACTGCCCCACTTTCCCCATTTTGCACCTCAAAAATAAATATTCCCACCAACCGTCCACCCCAAGAAATATAAAAAATGAAAAATAAAAAAGTTCGGACTCGCGGATTTAAGCTGCGATTCTATTTGAAGCCCAAATTTTCACTCACGAATATGTTCTTTGATATATGAACTGAAATCGCGTCTTGTGTCCGCGTGTTCACAACTTGCCGAAAGATTGATATAAAAAGGAGGGAGAGAGAGAGAGAGAGAGGGATTTTGATTGATAGAAGCTGCGAGAGCAAGCAGTCCACAGAGGGGATCTTCCAAGCTTTTTTTTCCCTCTCCCATGGCGGCCTCTGCTCGAGCTTTTTTCCTATCTCGCGTCACCGACTTTTCAATTAAACCACGCCTCCCTCCCCAACCACCGCCGCCGCCGTCGTTGCCTTCTTTTTCGTCTCCACATCTCGGCGTTCTACGACGGCGGTTTACCAGCTCGTCTGGAGCAACTACTGTGAGCTGCCTTGTCTCGGGAGTGGATGGCGGTGGAGTTTCCGATGACTTCGTTTCCACTCGGAAGTTGAAATTCGATCGCGGATTCTCCGTAATCGCGAACATGCTTAAGCGGATTGAACCGCTCGATACCTCCGATATTTCCAATGGCGTCTCTGATGCTGCGAAGGATTCGATGAAGCAGACTATCTCTTCAATGTTGGGTTTGCTTCCGTCCGATCAGTTCGCTGTCACCGTTAGGGTTTCAAAAAACCCTCTCCATAACATCCTCTCTTCGTCAATTATCACCGGGTAATAAGTTGATCGATTCTTTGCTTTTTATGGAAGTTTGGTGGAATTGTTATTGCTTTAGGTGTTGTATTCAATGGGACTTTCGGAATTGAGATGAGTTGGTCTGCACAGGTACACCCTCTGGAACGCGGAGTATCGGCTGTCTTTGATGAGGAATTTCGACATCTCGCCGGATAATTTGACGGGTTTGAACAGATCAAAACCAATGGAAGTTTCGGACGTTGAGGAGACTCTTGTTGGCGTTGATTCCGATGTGGAAGATTTGGATAGAACAAGGCCTCGTCTCTTAACCGATTTGCCCCCCGAGGCGTTGAAGTACATCCAGCAATTGCAGTCGGAATTATCGAATCTCAAGGATGTAAGGGTTTACGGAGTTTACAATTTCCAGTCGTGCTAATTGGCAATAATTTAGTTCTACTTATCGTCCACCCATGACTTGCCGAGCTGAATTCTTAAAATCATTTCTAATTTCTCTTTTTATTAAAATAAAATATTAGTTCTGAAAAGAAATTATCCTAAATGGGGCCATAGCCTTTCATTTATTTATGATGATTTAATTTCTAATAAACAACAAAATGAAAGGTTTAATTTACTATTTTAAGATGTAAAGTCTGTTGGATAGAACTCTAGTTTGATAATATTAGCTATGTAAGTTAGTGCGTGTATCATAATTCATACTCGAGACGAGGAGTTACCACGTTATCTCTGTATATAATTGCATTCTTAGTTTTTTATGTCTAATGGTCTACTGAATCTTTTTGTTAAGGATTATCATATGTTTCACAACAAATTTGATTTTAAACTTATTATCATTCAATTAGTAATTGCTTGTCAGACGCCATAAATAAATCAGTTTCTATATATAATCAAAGACAAGATGTTATTAGACTCCTGTAATTAGTTATACTATTGAGGGCTTGAACAATTGAAGTAGTACATGTTTTCTCTTCCCTTTCAGCTATTTACGTAGTTTTGCAACATTTTGGAAGTATTTGTAGTGAGATTCAGTAGTTTTGTTTTGTTATTGGCTTATATTTCATGAAGTTCATTGTCACCATCTTTATCTTGGTTATTTAGGGGGCATCCGGTTAGAGGTTATGAATTTGGTGGGAAAATATCTTCTGTTAGATGATGTGATTCATCATAATAGATCTGGACTCCAATTTAGCCAAAGAAATCATCATATTGGCTATCAAGTTTAGTAGTACATGCTCAGATTTGTTGTTTTGTGGTTGACGTAACCTGCTATCAGCTAACGCTCTTACTCTTAGGTTTAATCATATTCAGGCGCCCTTAATTTTTATTCTATGGATTAAGCCATTAAGGCGAAATAAACAACTGCTTGATTGCTTACTGATATTATCTGCCTTTTTAGTATATTTCATTCAGTTAAGATAGGGTGGTCTTCGTCTTCCTGTCTATTGGGATGGGGTTAAACGTTTTTTCTGGCTTGTTAAATGCACGCCCCTGCATCTTACTTGAGGGAAAGAAAAATCTTTATGATTCTCTGGCTTTACCTTCCCATATTTTTGTTCTGAATGTGCCAGGAACTAAATACTCGGAAGCAAGAAAACATGCAGATGGAATATGGCAGAGGAAATAGGAACAATTTGTTAGAGTATCTGCGTTCTTTGGATTCAAATATGGTACTTCATTGTTTTTACTTCTATAGCTTTACTTTTGTGCTTAGCTGCCTTTATTTTCCATCTCGCCAGTAGGCCGATGCTGGTCGGTGCCCAAGCTGTTGAACACCTCCATGTTTTATTTGTTTTAGGTGACTGAACTCTGCAAACCATCTACGTTGGAGGTGGAGGAAATCATTCATGAGCTTGTTGGAAACATATTGCAAAGGTTCTTTAAAGATGATGCTAGCTCTACTTTCGTTGAGGATTCGAGTGTGGCGGATTTAGGGAAACTTGCTAATGCTGGCGATGAGTTTTATGATACTGTAGGCACTTCTCGGGATTACCTTGCAAAACTCTTGTTCTGGTTAGTTGGCACTCATTGGCCTTCATGTTATCTTTAAGTATATATTTCTTTTAGTTTTGGATTTATGGAAACTTGCTATTTAGTCCCTCTCATGAATTTGGGCCTTGAGTGATTTATTGACCTACACTTAAGAAATCCCATTACAACTTAATGAGATTTTCATGTTACAAACTAAATTTTTGCAAATTTTACAAATTTTAAACTATAGAGGTTGATCATCTCACATTTCAAACTATAAAGACTAAATAGTGACATACTAAACTATAGTCGCATGCTAAAGTCTAGAGAGTAAATCATTACAAATTTTGAACTATACGGACTGAATTGTTACATGTTAAATGTATGGAGTAAATCAGTCACTTGGATGAATTACAATGTCTTTTAATCCTTATTTTAGTTTCTTGTGTGCACAATACTCGAGAAATGAGCCATGCCCAAGGAGCTAACTTGTTGAAGCAATTTACTGCTGCAGGTGTATGTTATTGGGTCATCACTTGAGGAGCTTGGAGAATAGACTGCAGTTAAGCTGTGTCGTTGGGTTGTTATAAGAGAAGGAAGTGTACATTCTCTCTGTACTTCCCCCCTTAGCTTTATATTATGTCTATACCTTCTATAATTGTTCTTCAATAAAAGGAATATTTTAGCCTCTCTTATATTTACTTATGATTACCAAAGCAAAATATCGAAGTTCTCGAACGAGCAATCGAAAAGGTCCCAGCTATTGAGGTATCCCCTTCGTTCTTAATTGTCTCAAATCCATGAAGTTTCTCCTTTTTTCCATAATGAATGTGGGAGTAGTAAGTAATTAATGGTCTCGAACTGTACTTGTTTGATTTGGTCTTTATATTTTCACATGCAGGGCCCGATAACCATTTCTGTTTTTAGGTTTTGATTTTTGGTTTTATTGTTTTTTTTTTAGTTTTCTGATTTTAAAAAACAAAAACCATATATGGTTGAGAACTGGTTTTTATTTTTTTGTTTTTAAAAAATAGAAAATCAATTTAATATTTTCTAATGATATTCTCTCTCTATACAAATTTAATATTTTTTCCAAACTTTTCTCATTCTCAAATTTCACTTTTCTTTATCTAAATGTTTTCTCGTTCAATTTTCTTTCACTTATAACTCTTCTTTCTCTTTTTATTTATTTACATTCTATAATAAATATATTTTTAACTTTTTCTTGTCTATTTGGGTAATTCGAGTATCTCCCTCGCCAAGAGTGATAGGGAGTTCGATACATCCTTCTGAAATGACACTTTCCCTTGAGAAACCAATTAAAGGTGTCGAGCTTTTCTTCAACTGAGCTTTTCCCCATCCAGAAGTTATGTAGGTCGAGAGGGATAGAATGTTGGTCGAGGTGCCAGCATCTATGAAGCCACGTCGCACCATAACATGGTCGATATTGGGAACTATGACCAAGACGTCTTTGTGAGGCAGGTGGATGGCTTGTAGGTCGACATTTGAGAAAGTGACAAGACAGACCTTTGGCTTCGCCTATATTGATCCGATCTCATTTCGAGCTTCACAAGCTAGCTCTTTGCATTTGTGGCCAAATTGGCCTCCATTAGGTCCTTCGTGAATAGTGTTGATCACTGGAGGTCAATCCTCACGCTTTTGAGGGGTCTTGGACCTCTCCCTTTTTCTCGTATTTTTCACTGCTCTCGATCCTTCTTACTGACGTACTTCTTGAAGTAGCTTTGTCGAATCAAGCCTTCAATGTGTTACTTCAAGTCGTAACAATCAGAGGTATGATGGCCGTGATCTTGGTGGAAACAGTAATAGTTTGACCTATCTCGTTGGTTATATCTCGTTGGTTAGGGTCTTGATGCAATGGTTTGAGATCTTTCAGTAGATTGAGCATTGCATCTTGAATTTGGGGACAAGGTCGTTGTAATTGCTCCGATTGGCGATTGTGACTGTTGGTTGTTGGGCCTGAGGTGAAAAACCTCAGTCAGCTTTTAATCTAAAACATGCAAACTTGATCTATCCTGTCGGCTTTATTGACGACTCGGATGACACCGAGTTGAATCGTCAAGTCCACGTGTCACGGTGTATTTTTCATGCTCAAGATGTATGTCCATTTAATTTCAACGATCCCAATTAACAAAAAGATTGATCAAGATTAAAGCAAATTTATCTCAATCCTCGTATAAATTGTGGAACCCTCTTTGTCTTTGTTCAAACACACAACCTTCACTTTCATTTTTTTCAACCATCAACCACTCTTCTATTTTTTCTTTCCAAAGATGAGTCTATTGTCTTCCATTTTTTCCAATGAGGAAGAACAAAATGGCTCAGAATCGAATTCTTTTACTTTCATTTATATAGATTTTTTTTACTTTTATTTTTTTTTCGAGTACAACAATCCATATCTCCAAAACCATCAAATTCAATTTGACCCAAAACCATTATTTTAAAATATAAGAGTATTTTTGTAATCTCACCTTCGTCGTCCAAAGAAAAGAAAGGTTAGAAAAACTTTTTTCTTTTTTTAGATCTGGGTCAATATCCTAAAATCAAAAAAATTTTAGGCCATTTTTACATTTTTCCAAAAAAATTTTAACAAGTGAAGTGTGATAATAAAATTATAATTGAAAAAATGAGATAAAAATTAAAAATAAATTGGTAAAAATAGATATTTTGAAASTTTTAAAATTAACAAAATTAAAACTATGGTGAAAATACATCTACCAAAACAATATTTCATACTTCTAAGTTTTAACCATTGCTTGAATGTTGGGGACTAGAGTAGACCTTTTTGAAGATTTATAACGAAAAAGAAAATATATTTGAAAGTTGAACGGCTACATTTTAAAAAGTTTTATCATTAAAATAAAATAAACAAATATTTAGCCGAAGAAAGGTGAAACAGAGACGAATAAAACCCAAGACGAAGCTCACCGATACAGAGGAAAGAAAATGTGGAACAATGGCAGTTCCAATCGGAATCCAAAGAAATTTCTGTATGGAAGAGTTCGATTCAACCAATTTTCAAGAGAAAAGGGAAGAAAAATGGAAACAAATGTTCCATTTTCTAAATATAGAAACACAACCCTGCGAGAAAATTGGATCTCCAATGGAAAACGAGGGAAAGAAAAAGAAAGAAAAAGTAGAGACAAATTTCCCTCCCACCACCGGATGCTACCATTTCAAATCCTAGTTGTTCGAAATCCAGAAAAAAAAAAAAAAAACAATGAACAGAGGTTCTGATTTGCAGAAATGGGACCCAATTGGAGAAGAGAAGGCAGAGATTCCGTAGTGTGATTCATCGGCGATCAACTTTGGCATCTATGTTCTCCATTTCCACAAAATGTTCGATTGTGGTGGATACAAATCGCAGTACATCGGCGGCCACAAAGAGAAATTTGTGAGGTACCTTACATTCAATTCTTCAAAACCTAAATCATCGATTACATTCTAATTTGTGGATTCAATCGAATGTTTGAATGGTTGTTGTGTGGTCAGGTTGGATGATTTGGATTCAAACTTGTCAATGCCATCAGGAACGAGCGGGATGAAGAGATGCCGATTCAAGCTAGAGGGCCTCCCACTGCCATTTACGAGCCGATCGAAGCACCGAAACGCGTCGAAAACGTTCCGGCGCGGCGTCCAGAGGAGCTCCGACGGGCTGGTCACCCTCGGCCGCTCCCTCCAGTCGAGCGTCTCCCGCGTCATCTTCCCGGAGGATCTCAAGGTCTCGGACCAGAAGATCTTCGACCCGCAGGACAAATCGCTGCTGTTCTGGAACAAGCTGTTCGTGGTGGCCTGCATCCTCTCGGTCTCCATTGATCCCCTATTCTTCTACCTCCCCACGTTCAACCACGCCTCCTACTGCCTCGGCATGGACTCTCCCCTTGCCACCGCCACCACCACCATGCGCACCATCGTCGATGTCTTTTACCTCATTCGGATGGGCTTTCAGTTTCGGACGGCTTACATTGCGCCATCGTCGAGGGTGTTTGGCCGCGGCGAGCTTGTCATCGATCCGGCCGAGATCGCCAAGCGCTATCTCCAGCGCTACTTCGTCGCGGATTTTCTCTCCGTTCTGCCTCTGCCTCAGGTCTGTGCTGTGCTACAATTTCTTAAATGAATTCTTTACATTGATTTTGTTGGGTTTGCAAGAAGAATGCAAATAAAGTCCTACGTTAGTATTAGTTAAGAACATGATCAGACAGAGGTCAATTATCTCCCTTGTCATTATATTTGATTTGATTTGCATTACATAACTGTGGCTCAGGTGGTGGTTTGGAGGTTTCTTCACAGATCAAAAGGTTCGGAGGTGTTGGCGACGAAGCAAGCGTTGTTAAACATAGTGTTTCTTCAGTACATTCCCAGATTCATCAGATTCATTCCTCTGAACATAGAGCTTAAGAAGACGGCAGGAGTTTTTGCAGAATCCGCCTGGGCTGGAGCTGCTTACTATCTGCTCCTCTACATGCTTGCCAGTCATGTAAGCCGAGCCAAGCCAAGATTGTGTTGTTCCTAAGAAACTGAATCTAAATAAATGTGAATATGGTTTGAAATTGATGAACAGTTTCTTGACAGATTGCAGGAGCGTTCTGGTACTTGCTGGCGGTGGAGAGGAACGACGCGTGTTGGAGGCAGGCGTGCAAAGCGAGCGGGAAGTGCAACATAAACTATCTCTACTGCGGGAACAAGCATATGTCTGGATATAAGGAATGGCGAAACATCAGCGTCCAGGTTCTGACCAAGGCCTGCTCCGCCATCGGCGACTACTTGCCCTTCAACTACGGCATTTACACTCAAGCCATCGCCTCCGGCATTGTCCAGGCCAAGCCTTTCTTCCCCAAGTTCTGCTACTGCTTGTGGTGGGGCTTGCAAAACTTGAGGTCCATTTTAACTCCACCATTTTCCTTCTTCCCCTTCACCCATTTCCCTTTACATTCTTCAAACTTTCCATGGTCTGTGTTTCCAACAGTACGCTTGGTCAGGGCCTGCTCACCAGTACCTATCCTGGAGAGATCATCTTTTCCATCCTCATAGCAATCTCTGGCCTTCTTCTTTTTGCCCTCTTGATTGGAAACATGCAAGTAAGCAAGATTAGATCTTTACCATCCCTTAATTCCATTGGCAACATTTATTGAAGAAGTTACTAGCTTTAATTCTACTGGCAACAACAGACGTACCTTCAATCTCTGACGGTCCGGCTTGAGGAGATGCGCATCAAGAGGCGAGACTCGGAGCAGTGGATGCACCACCGGCTACTTCCGATGGACTTGAGAGAAAAAGTTAGGCGCTACGATCAGTACAAATGGCTGGAGACCAGAGGAGTGGACGAAGAGAGCTTGGTCCAA